GCTGTAAATCTTACATGTATGCTTGGCAAACCTAAGCTTATTCACAGATCCAGCATGTACTATTAGGGAAACTTTCATGCTGGGGGAACTTGGAAAAAAGCAACATTTATACATGATGCAACTTATTTTGCCATTGACTTCCTTTACCTTCTGCTTCAGTTGCAAATGTGCATTTGAAGAGATTTCCATCCTCACCATCCTTTCTGCCTGCAATCAGGGTTGCGGCTTTAGATCAGTCTACTCCACGACAGTGTCTCTAGGCCATGTCACTCATTCAGCAGTCTAATTACGAGATCAAATAAAAAGAACTGATGGTTAAGATTAGGCACTGGCTATGTGCCTAATTTGTAATGAAAGAGGTGCCAGGGCTCAAGCAATATTTTTTACTTTCATAACTGACACAGCCAAAGGTGCCGGGGCTATGAACTGCCAAGCCTAGAGGTGCTGAGATTCAGTCCTGGCACAAATTAAGCACTGTACATAGCTGTTTAAACAAAATGAGTTGAGTGTTCAGCAAAATGGGCAGGGGATTTATTAAAAGAACATGAAACATAAAAGGCTAAGTCAGTAGTAAGACTAGTTGAAAGCTTAACCTGGAGTGAAAAACAACTTTCTAAAAACCACATTACCTTAAAAGCAGCATAAGAGGCTGATTTTTCTTAAAGAGCATGATCCAACTGCCTCACAATTTTTATTTATACAAAGAAATCACACTTCAGATCAAATGCAAGCTCTGGAAAGGTTGCAAATCCTGGTTTTGTGTGAAGCTGCCCTACACAGAGAAAGAGCAAGTCTGTTATAGAAACTCAAAATCCTTCTTCCATATTCCCCATAGCTTTCAAACACACTAGTGCTGAGTCAACTGGTAGGTGGAAAGATTAGAACTACTGAGTTCATGAGAGGTTCCATGATGTTGTGGTCTCTCTTCTCTGTATAATAAATTGCCTTTTCCCCTTCCCACACTGCCAGGCTACAAATGGGAGACTCTCAGTATGTAGCCTGGAAGAACTTTCCAGAATAACGATGATGGGGTTAGAAGGATGGCCTGTGGTTAGGGCACTAGCCTAGGATTTGAGAGCTCAGGGACCAAGTCCTTGCTCCAACAGACTTCCTGTGTGACCTTGGGCAAGTCATGTAGCCTTTCTGGGCCTCAGTTCTCTCTCTGTACAAACTGGGATAATAGCACTGCCTCATTTCACACAGGTGCTGTCAGAAGTAAATCAAAGATTATCAGGTGCTCAATTACTACAGTAAAGGGGGCATTTAAGTACCGTAGCTAAAGGAGCACAGGCAGATTCAGTAGCAGATTTAGGGGGTGGGAGTGTAGGAAAGAAAAACATGCATCTGATGAAGTGGGTTTTAGCCCACAAAAGCTTATGCCCAAATACATTTGTTTGTCTCTAAAGTGCCACAAGGACTCCCCGTTGTTTTTGCTGATACAGACTAACACGACTACCACTCTGAAACTAGGAAAGAACTGTTTTTAAAACTAAACTTGTAGCATGGCTGGAATTAGTAGCAATCTTTAATGGACTTTTTGAGGGTGATAAAATATTTGGATCATCCATGGGCTCTATCACTATTTCCTGGAAGACAGATACAATATATATTCCTGAGGTCAGTTCTAGAGAAACATCTTATAACAACAGTGTTTATGTGAAATCCTGGCCTCTTTGAAGCCTATAGTAAAACTCACATCGACTTCAATGGGTTCAGGATTTTAGCCTTTATGCCCATTAGAGGAAAGGTTTTTCCTCGGTGTGATCATGCCAGCAGACCCTCCCTTCCTTCATGTGGGGATCTCACCTACTACCGAACCATTGGCTGCATATTTCCCCCCCATCCTTCCTGTGATGGGATTCACTCCTCCCTGGGGCACTGCCTTCTAACTGCCTGTGGGGACTAGCTCCTTCCAGGTCTAATCCCCTCTTCTGTCACTCATTCATGTGAACCACAGCCTCTTTCTCTCTCTGCATGAGTCAGGGTGCTCTTTGTGGCTTAGCCCTCCAGCCAGGTCACTACAGTCCTCTGCTTCTGGGGTATTGAAGTCCCACTAGGCCATCTGTCTCAGCCAATCTTCTGTTCCACTACCCAGCCTGTGCCATTTCCCCACTGGCGGGTAGGGGAACCCATGTTCCAGCACAGGGATCATTCAGGAAGCAGTGAAGATCTGCACTTTCTCAAACCTTGCTGCAGTTTCTCTGGGCTACTTCCTACTTTGTCTTGATTGGAATCCTTCTCCACCCTCTTCGAGGTGTATGCCCTTACTTCAGAGCCAGGATCACAGACACTGACTTTTGTCATTTCGTGGGGGATGCTCCACCCCCGCCCCCACTCCATCCCTTCCCCAAAGCCCCACCCTGCCTCTTCCTGCACCCACCCCACCTCGTTCTACCCTGCCCTCAACTTTGCACCCTCCCCCCAGCATCTCCTGCATGTCCCTGAACAGCTGATTGTGGTGGGCAGGAGGCACTGGGAGGGAGGGGGAGGAGCTAATCAGCTGAGCCCTGGAGCACCCATGGAGTCAGCACCTATGGCCAGGATCCCAGAGCCTCTATGCTCCCGCTCGTTTCTTCTCTAAACTCAGAGTGACTGCAATCCTTCCCCTCACCCAGCTGTGCTTCTTCATCAATTAAAAGCATATTAGCCCTGACTCTCCCCCACATGGAGCCTATCACAGGGTTAATTGGCTCTTTCCCTCTACTCAGGCTGCCTGGGGTAAGCACCTCATCATAATCCCAACTCCACCAGGAATCTCTGTAAGCCTCCAAAGTATGGGTGATGGTACATGCATTCTCCCCAACTAGTCCCACAAAATTCCCCATACAAATGTAATACAGCCACAGAGCTCCTGTTCCCGGTTTGTTCTGCAGGAGATGATCAGACTCTCCATTTTACTCAGTCCTCGCGGGGCAACTCCTGTTGAATCTCAAAGTTTGCGCAAAAGGAAAAACATGGGTTTAAAAGAAAATCCTCAGAATTCAGTCCATCATCAGTGCTAAGGGAGCCAAAGGCGGCCAGCCTCAATGGCTCCTCAGGCTAATTTTCAGAAACAGTCCAATAGGGAAGAGAATAGCCCAGTCTCATTCTTGAACTGTAGTCCTTTTGAAGATTTTCCCTCAGTCAGCTTAGGGAAGAATGCCCCTCCATAATGGGCCCTGAATAGGCTCATGGAGTCCTTTATCCAACTGGGAGTTGGGTAGGGCCTAATTGAAGTCCAACAATCGGTCTAGGCAAAAGGGTTTGATTCCACGCAGTAGTAATTAGAGCTAGTTTAATCCACCAACACCCACCCACAAAAAAACCCCAGAAAGTTATTTTGGTTTTGAAGAGGAACCATTTGTTTATCCAAAATTATCAAGTTTCATTTGCAAAATTTTGGTTTCTGTGCTTTCTCCCTGCCACAATTCTCTCTCTCTCTCTCACACACACACACACACACACACACTCTTACAGCAACCAGAATCCGTGCAGCACCATACACTTCAACCCCACCTGACATACCCTTCCTCCCCCAAACTCAAACCCCTACAGGGGGGCTGGAGCTTGCAATGAAGTCCTCAAAAGGAAACTTTATGGCTGTGTCTGTACTGGAGGAATCCTCCCCATCTGAATATGGGCGTTTAAGGTGTCTTTATACTACTCTGGCTCTTTTATCCAGTACAAAGGGAGCTGGGTGGAGAATAGAACCTCACCCCTCAGCTGCAATTAAAAACTCTTTTCATCTGCATTAGTTTTCTTTTAATTAGCTTAGAAAGACTTGACCTTTTAGTAAAACTTCTATCTACTTTTAACTTTGGAGAGACTAACATTTAATTAAGATAATGGGGCTGACTCTGTCTCCTGCATGACTCATTTTCCACTAATGTTGCTGCATGCAGTGGACAATCAGCCCTCAGGTTGCCAATCCTCCAGGATTGTCCTGGAGTCTCCAGGAATTAAAGATTAATCTTTAATTAGAGATGTCATGTGATGAAATCTCCAGGAATACACCCATCCAAAACTGACAAGCCTAAATCAGGCCCAATATTTCATGTGAGAGCTATGTATTTAATCACAAAGAGACAGGGGAATTCAAACATTTATTCTTTATTGTATTGCTCAGAGTATCTATGCAATTTATGTATGTAGTGTAGTTAAGGATCCACATTTCCCAAAACATCACATTGCAGCACAGTCTCTTTACACATGGTGAATAATCAGTGCCTTCTTTAAAAGGTGACAATCAGTTGCAAGTTTAAGCATTTCTGGTAGTAAATGAAGGAAAAAGCCAAGTTATCAATACATATTTTTTCAAACACTCAAAAATACAGTTTACAGAGGACCGCCAATGAAGTCAAGCAACTACTTTGATGATACTCTATCCGTAAATGTAGACTCTGCAAGTAAAAAAAAAAAAAAAAAAAAAAAGCTAAATAAGCACAAAAATATATATTTTAACTTTTAAAATAATTTAAATACAGTAATATTTTGCTTATGTTACCTGTGTTTACAACATATGGTCTATGATCTGATCTATAGATATAGGGCCAGATCCTTAGCACCTGAGGCTCTGACCCATATTTAAATTGAATAACCCCAAGTTGTTCATATTTGAACACAGAACAATTGTTTAACACTGAAAAACTAGTTACAGTGCAGCTAAAAGAAATAGTACTAATTTAAACAATTTAAGATTCTAGAAAGAATCTTAGATGTAAAGCAATGTTGAAATAATTAATATTTATTCTTCACCTCATAAATCTCTAGTCTGATGCTTACAGATTGATTACTCAAAAGCCACTGAAGATCAGTTAAGCTAATGGTCACAAGTAGTATTATTATCCCCAAACAACATTTCTTAATTTTTTGATAACTAATACTGGTATTTGAAAGACATTTGTATGGTTGCTGAAAACTTTTATTAAAATGTATCCTCTTGCTACGAGATGTTTACCATACTAAAAAAAACCCCATGAAAAACATAAAAAAATATTTTTAAAGATTTTTAGAAAACCCAAACAACTGCAAATACAGCTGATCTTTTAATATATATATTCTTCAGGTTTTTTTTTAATGTATCATTTACAAAGAGGCAAAAAAGTACAACAGTCCTAGGATTTATTTTTGTCCATTACATTGAGGACCTCATCCAGAAGTGAGGGTCCCAGGTCAAGCTGCAATGAAAGAAGCGAGCCTGCAAGATCTGAAAGGGATTCTTCTGACTTAGTCTCTGCCTTAGTTAGTTCACATGAGAGATGACTGTCATCAAGTAAGTCAACTGTTTGCCAATCAGTGCATTGTTCAGAAAGGCTGGATGAATGACTCTCTCTGCCATTAATATAATGCGACCCAGAACCATTCGGCTCCCATAGGATGTCATCTTTGTACATTTCCCCATTCTCCAACTGTTTGCTTTTCTCCTGCAATTTTTCTTCCATTACTGGCTCACAGCTAAGCCTTGCATTCTTTGATGGCCCAAAGGAGTCCCGCTTTGAATTAAATGTCACTGGTGACAATAAGGGCAACACAAGGGCTTGAGAACCACCAATGGCAGGAAGCGAGATGGCATTTTTGAGCACGGGTGAAGGAGTTTCTGTAAACATGGAGTCACAGGTGCTGTTTGCCCTTAAGAACTCATTATGTCCACCAAACTGACCAACTCTTGGTGTTCCCTCATTCCCAGGCAACAGCTCATAATTTCCTTGCAGAAATGAGATGTCCCCAAAAACATCATGTTGTCCCTCTTTCCCAATGTGTATGGTGTGGCGAAAGTCACCAAGTGGTGGACTGATCATATCAGGAGACAAAATATCCCTTAATTTGAATTTCTTCCCTTTCTTATTATTGGCAGCTTTCAGGTAGATGGGTGTCTTAGCTGGCATTTTGTTTGCAGGTTTTGAGGTGGTCTGGTCTGTTTTATAAGGGATAAAAAACAAAACAAAAAAACCACTTCTGATAAGAATTAGCGATTCTTCTCCAGCAGACTTTCAATGTTATCGTTGTCACATTATTGATTTGGATGCCTCTCACAACCAGGGTCCATTTCTTCTGGGAAAGAGAATCTGGGAATTAAGAGAGCTGAAGAACCTCAACGTAGAGCTTTCCAAGTTGAAGCATACAACCGTCCTTCAGGTGAGGAGTTAGTGACCAAGTACTCTATTACTTCCAAAACCTGAGAAAACCTGTATGGGAAACAAAGCAGGTTATTAGCTTACTCTTCATGGTTCACTCAGCCTTGCTTTTACAAAAACAATTAGTAATGGTACTGACAGTTCCAGCCTACAGATTAGCTTTATGATGTTGCTTCCCTTCATTAAGCAGGATAAAAGGCTTTAGTCTAACAAGGGCTAGCTAACCTCTTCCTGACTTCATAGTTTTTTGAAGTCAGAGTTCCTTAGACACGGTTGCTGAGCACAGTTCACTTGGTAAACTCACTATCTCAGTTTCTCTCTCACTCGGTCAGTCATCTTCAATCTGGAGAGGCAGCAATGATATTCAAAGATTTCTACATTGACATTTAAAAGAAAAGAAACCTCAAACTTTTTAAACAAAACCCCACATACTTTAACACAGAGGCCTATACACATTACGATTTAGATAGGTCTGAGAAAGTCTGAAGTTAGACTTGTATAGCCAAGATTTTCAAAAAATGGTGTAAAAGGCCATGGCTTACAGCGAGCGGCACAGCTGCACCACTGTAAGCTCTCTAGCGTAGCCACGCTAAGTCGACGGGAGAGAGGTCTCCTGTCGGCTTAACTACTCCAGCCCCAGCAAGCGGCAGTAGCTATGTCGGCGTGAGAAGCTCTCCCACCGACATAGCGTTGACCATACCAACACTTAAGTTGGCATAAGTTACGTTGCTCAGGAGGGTGGCTAATTCACACCCATGAGTGACATAACTATGACAACTTAAGATGTAGTGTAGCCATGGAGCCTAGATTTAGGTTCCTACCCCCATACTGAAGCATCTAAATAAGATACCTGATTTTCAAGAGCATTAAGCACCCACCACCTCTCATTGCCTCCCCCCAAGAAAATGAAAGCATCAGATCATTTATTTAGAAGCCTAACTGTAGGCCCTCTTTTGCTTCCCCGAAAGGTCAAAAATTTAGAAAGTTATCATAGAATATCAGGGTTGGGAGGGACCTCAGTAGGTCATCTAATCCAACCCCCTGCTCAAAGCAGGTCCAATCCCCAAACAGATTTTTGCCCCAGATCCCTAAATGGCCCCCCTCAAGGGTTGAACTCACAACCCTGGGTTTAGCAGGCCAGTGCTCAAACCACTGAGCTATCCCTCCCCCCTGAAAAGATATAGAATGGAAACTCTCACCTCAGCCTTAACTACAGTTGTCATTAGCACTTCAATTATAATTAAGTTCAAAAAATTGCACATTTGAAACAAATCACAGGACATAAGGAAGTGCAGAAAGTGTTAAAAACCATATCCCAGGTCAAAGTCTACTGAAGTCAATGGAATTAGGCTACAGGTTCTAACAGCAACATTAATTCAGGCAGGCTGCATGCTATCTGCGGTCAATTAGATTTATTTACTAAAATGAGAAATAAAGCTATATGGTTAAGAACAGAAAACATCATTTATGTGCAAGGTGGTCAAGTTCACTTTAATTTTTTTATTTCTTGGTTTTCTGGGTGTGATTTTCAAGCCAGTCCTCCAGCTTTTACAGGCAAAATTTTACATCCACAATTAACTGCGCCTAGTATTCATTCAGGAAGGAGCAAAATTGTGGGAGTAATTCACTGTTGGTGCCAAACAACACAAGCAAGACTGGCCCAGCTTGACAGTCAGCCCTCTGCAAGATTTACCCTTTTGACTTCTTGCTATTCAGTTTCCTAGTGTGCACTTTTAGGAACTAAGTGCCTAGTTAAAAACTCTTAGCCAGTGACTTCTACATGCACTGGAAAGTGACCTTCATATCCCTCCCTTGGCTTCCCTTTCTCCATCATATAAAAAGTCAGCTACGTGTTCTCACTTCCAAGGAACTTTAAGACCCTTCCTCACCCAACCTCATCTCTCATTCAGGATGATTGGCCCATGATGCCTGCCTCTGCAGCCCTGCTGTAACAAGAGTAAGGGAGTGGATCTGTGATAGCAGAGCTGAAGAGAACTCCTGGAACTGCGGCAGGGCCCGGGATAACACATCCCTGCAGGCAGAGGCGAAGTAGGGGTTTGTGGGTCCCTGGGCCAGAACAAGTAGGGCCCTTCCCTATCCCTTCCCCCTGCATTCCCCCCGGTGCTCCTGCAGGGGAGGAGTGGTGTTGGGCTATGGGGGCTTCCCCCACTCCCCGGCAGGAGCGCCGGGCGGACAGAGCAGGGCAAGCCAACGCGGGGGCACCCATTTTGCTGGTGCTCTTGGGCACGGGCTCCATTGGCCCATGGCTAATCCACCACTGCCTGCAGACACAAGGTAGGGGTGAGGGAAAGGAAGATTCCAGTCCTAGCGAGGCAGACCAGAGACCCCTGGCCAGGGCTGTGAGGAAGAGGAGGACAACAGTAATGAACCTCCCTCCGGCCATGGTGGAGACCACCCAGTGCAGTGGCTGAATGGCTCAGTCCACAGGCAGGAACTGTTCAGGAACACCCCATGGCCACGCGCTCATCCTCCCTTCTGGCAGTCCTGACCGGGGGGTGGGAAGGGGGTGGGTCTCTGCTCTGCCAGGCCATGACCACGTACTGCCCTGCACCTTGCGCCTCAGTGTCTTGGGCCCCTGCTGTTGGCGCTGGTAGCCCCCTGCAGCCCCGCTGTTGGTGTTGCCCTATCTATACCGCGCCCCTCCCCCCACCCAAAAAAAAATTTACAGCAACTGTAAAACTAAAAATAGTTAAAAAAATTCTTAAAAGTGAAAAATGCAATATTAATAGTTGAGATAAAAGTCCCGGATTCTGCCAAGGCTATACATAGCACAATATGGTCCTGCTCCATCACTAAGGCTCCTAGGCACGATGGTAAAATAAATAAATAAAAAGGGCACAAATAAACTTAATAAAAAAAGGTGAAAAGGATCGCCTTCAAATTAAAAATAAAAACAACAACAAAAATCCCCCCTCCCCCCGCATACTTTGAATAGAGACAAGTCCGGAGACATTTCAGCCTCAATGACCCATTTTCAGTATTTGATTCAGTTATAACCCTGCTTTCACTCAAGCAGTTTTACCTTCTATTCTTTGCTACCAAGCAAACATTTATAATGCTGTCTCAGACTCCTTTCAGCAGTCTCATCAACCAACTACACAGTCAGCATAAGCCTCCCTCATGCAGCCTAAAATTTTCAATGGATGCCTCAGTTTATACCCCAGCCAGCACTGCACAATGAGTTACAAGCTAGTTTTTGAGGACTAGGGCTACTAGGCAGAGGTAAATACATAAGGTAAAGGCAGATTCCCATCACCATCCCCAGCAAGGCCAGAGGCAATTTCCTGGTGAGAAACCCACACCCATCCCATCTTTTGGAGGGTGATGATGGGATTTCTATTAGAGCAGTGGCTTTCAACCTGGGGTCCACAGACTATATCTAAGATTTCCAAAGGGGTCCACAAATGAAACAGTGGTTTTCAAACTTTTATTAGAGTGATCTCTTTTGGGGACTCCACCTTTCATATCTATCTCTGGTTAATAGGTGTCTTAGCGCTGTTCTACATACAAAGTTGCACCGGTTTAACAAGATCGGCACATCACCACACCTTTAGTTCCACCAGTGCAACTTTTGGGTTCAGAACAAGCCTTAAATCTGAAGTCTCACCCCCAAACTGTTGGGAGGAAGGAGATGCCTCCTAAAAGGGAGAGGATCTCCACTATTTTGCCCCTA